ACAGTTCGATACGAGATTATTAGTTGTGACGAAGAGGATTTCGTGATTTCGTAATCGTTAGGGGTTAACGAAAGTTGTGACGAAGAAGTTGTGACATTAAGATTTTTTTTGTTCCCCGGAGATATGGGACTGTTGATTTTCCAGTGTAACTGTTGATGACATAAATTAGTGACGTGGATTATCAAATTATGATGTGGATATAATAATTAAAATTTATATTAATAGTAACAAAATTAAACAAGGGTGTTTATTGTAATTTACTAAGAATCTAAAAACATTCTAGTAATTTTTAGAAAATGTATACTATTCTAGTCATATACCAACTTTTGTGTATCATTCTAGTAATTTCTTCTTTATTTATTGATAAAGAAGTAACACATGAGTCATGTTCATTGACATTATTAGGAAATGTTGTGCTAATATACATATAGTAAGATTACTTAAGCGGCCTTGAAGCGATCAATCTGGATGTTCTCAGTTTGGAGCTTCTTGTAATCACTTCTGTTTCTCGCAACATAGAACTTGCCCCAATTGTACTTTTTGTAACAAGGCGGGTTGTCTTCGCTTAGAAGCTCCTTCAGTGGCTCAATGTTGACTTCATGGGATGGGAAAAGGAAGAAAGGCATTGAGAATCTCTCTTTGCTTGAATTCACTACCACTCTATGTTCTGCACTCCAATACTTGTCATTTGTCCATACCTACACACAACAAATATTATATGACCAAGTTACATTAGACCCCCAAAAAATTTCGAGTTAATATATATACACATAAATTCTTAAAAAACATTTTTATTTAATCTCTTATCAAATTGTTTAAGACCTCCAAAGTGTCAGCCATTCTATATATATATATATATATATATATATATATATTCAAAGTTCATGTATTTTACCTGCATGCAGTTGCCAATGTTAATGATGAAAGCATCAGGGTTCGGTTTCACCGAGAACCATTGTCCATCCGATCTACGGCTCACTTGTAACCCACCCACATTATCTTGGGCCAAGACGGTTATAACTCCTGCGTCTGCGTGGCGTCCAACTCCTAATGCTA